CACTCAGATCAATTTCGATATTCAAATGATGACGAATATTCCCAGGCGTTGATTGATGTGTTCGAACATCAAGAAACACGACATATATTCTATGTCGCTTAATAAAGCTTTCTTTGGGGTACAGCCAACACAAAAGACATGCATGAAATTTTACAGACTTGTCAATATACAGTGCGCGTTAATTTCATCGAATAAAAACTTCTATTTATATTTACTAATGTAGGGTGTGGGTGTTAGCATTTTCTTCACCCACACCCCATAATGGTAAAGTTTTCTGTGAGAACTCCTAAAGTAAAACATGCGAATAGAAAAATGCCCATTAAATTAGAAAAACTTCGCAAAGATAAACAGTATACATTCTATAATTTCGATTCTTCTGAGACAAAACAAAAGTTAGATTGAGTATTGATATATATTTGTATACGAGAGATCTGAAAACACTTAAGAGATAGTCCTTTTGCAATGTGAAGCTTTAGGTTTAAAAATCTTTTCATTTAGTGATATTTTTCCAAACATTTACGACGTCATCAAGATACATTATACAATCTGTGAAGCTTTTTTCAAGCATACTCCATTTTTAGGTTCTATTACGTAGTGTTGATATCTAAAATAATGGGAACAAAAGACAAAGCCAAAATTTCATTGCCTGATCAAGCGTACCATATTATTGTTTTGATTACATTCATGAAATAATCGTTGACAATACAAGAATAGACAATACAATATTGACAATTTAGTTTGTAAATGAAAGAATGGCTGTTGAAACAAAACTTATTAGTCACAAAAAAATCTTGCTATCGAACAATGATCGCAAATGTTTAGCAAAGATAATTCGAATCTAACAATGTCATAGAAGAAACAATTGTAACCAAAGAAACAGAAAGCACATTCATAAAAGTAGTATATAGAAGACAAACACATTTTTTAATTCCGTTAGTAAGGGAATGAAAACTAGAAACAACGATAAAAATGAATCTTATTTACATAAAATTTAATATGAGTCATGGAACTCGAATTGGTAGAGTCATTTAATTTTGGCTTAATACAAATAAAGCAGAAAGAAATGAGTTATAAAACTCATCCTTCAATACCTTCTTTTAATGTTTTAATTTATGATACTGGAAACCCAAATAATTTTAAAGGCATAAAAAAAAACAGTTAAATTTCAAACACAAATACTATTTACAATGAAATACGGATTCCATATTGTTCTTGAGAAAACATCATTCTATTTTTGTATCTTTCTTTTTCTAATCAAATTCAATAACATAAGACAACGATCTATGACACTTCTGATAGCAATAATTATTCGAACGTAGATAACAATCGCTTCTGCATAATATTTTATGAAAGAATTCTCGAAATGATCACATTACTTTCATTCGAAGAAACTAATAGAGAAAAATCTTAAACATTGACAATCTCATAATAGTTATTATTGAAAATTCTCAAGAATTTATATTGATGCTTAACATTTCGCTTCTATTGTATAATTTGGAAATAATTTTATATTGTTGCAATAGTTGCTACGATTTAATTTTGTCTTCATTGAAGTTAATATTAAAATAAAGCAAAATCAGAATTCGATATATGATAGCATGATCCTGAAATGGAAACCAAAACTAATTTGTTCTGTTCATGTTACTAATCGAAAGATTTAGATATAGACAACTATTGAGTTTTAATACATTTGATATTACTGGTGTTTTGTATTTTTCTTGTTCGATATTGTGAAAAATATAATTATGTGTTATATAATATTGAATGTAGTACTTTATCACATGATAGTTTCGAAGTCATCTTCTGATTGGACAATATTGGACAACAAATAGATGATCATCTACATTGATTGATAGATNTCCATTTTTTTGTCTTTACTTCGTATTTCATGTTGTACTGTGTCTCTATCTTATTGCTCTTTCTTCTCGTACTTATTATTCTTTCCTTTTCTTGTTTCTTGTGGACCAGTATATAAGTGTATGTTTTGAATGAGAACGATGCGATTTTAGGAGAAAAAGAAATATAATAAAACGTAGTTCCATCAGTACTAACGCATTTTCTAGCAAAAATTGTCACATTGAAGTTCAACAGTCTCTTTGAAAAAATGGAGTTCTTCAAAGATAGTCTCAAAAACTTTGAAACTCTGGTTTAAATTCTTTTTTCTTGAACATATGTCACCTTATTTTCGACGATCTATCTCTGGTTAGAAATTCGGTCGAGATGAGTGTATCTCCAGCAAAAGTCAGAAATAAACAAAAAAAGAGGAGCTATCCTAAACTGAAATCTATAGCAGAGAGAAGCATACCTTTAATATATCCGCAAGTTGTTCAGTCTTGTTTGCTTCTGGCGATGTCACTCCAAACTTCACTTCACTCTTCTTCTCTTTTTCCATTTTACTGATTGAAAACACTCGAATATTGTTTGTATCACATAATAGAACGGTTGCAATCGCTTGACTAAAGTCCATGACGAACGTCTCTACTTTCTTTGTCGATTGTTGAAACTCACTGTTAAAATCGAAATCCATAATAAAGCAAAAATTCGCTGTTTGCACTGCATCAGTCGCCAAGAGATGAATACTTCCTAAATCGGCTACACCACAGGCAGCACGATAGATACTATTGTCGAATCGATGATCTTCATCGGTGAATATCAATTCACAGCCATGTTTTTCAGCAAAACTATTCAAACCGAGAACAGTTGTTTCTGTTTGATCTTCACCAATGCAAAGAGGTTGGGCATTGAAATCAGTCGATTTTCCTATCATTCGTCGATATTGAGCGACAGTTTTGTATGGGTGACGATCAGTGACACCCGCTGGATAGACAATATCATCATCTTTGTCTTTAATATCATTATCAGCAGATTCATCGGATTCGGTTGGTTTAATTTTCATGTCAATGATAGCTTGATTTTTTTCGAAAACAACGGCAGCTACTTCAAGTACAGGAATAGGTGAAGATGGCCGATTAACAAGTGGGTCGGCTTTAGGCATAGGGTTTGGTTCAATGTTTCTTTGCTTTGGACGGTCATTCGTGGGTGACTGAGGTTTTGGCTGTAATGGCATGTCGATTTTGGGAAAATCGGGTATTTCTGGCATCGGTCTCGAGACCACAGCATTTGAATAGACTCTTATCACTTCATCATGTTGCAGCAAATATAATCTGCTCATTCGTAAGCGTATGGTTTCCATTTTTCTGATATCCTTTTGATTAATCATATATCCTCTCTCTTGCTCTTTCTGAGTCATAAAAAGAACACCTTGACGACATTGAGAGATATCCCGATTGCATTGGTATATACGTTGTAAGTAGCCTGCAGATTTTGAACGCTTTGGACTCTGCATCGATGATTCTGAAAGAAATCAAATTTCAATATGAGAATAAAAATCATTCTCCAAAATTATATTTCTTCTTTTCCCCAATGTAGTATATGAAGTCAATATTTTTTTCAACGAAGGTTATGATAAGTCGCGATGTCTGGAACTAGTGATGGTGAAAAAAGAGTTGTTTGATTCTTTCTGAACTATGTAGAAAGATATACATTTTCACGGAAAGCGATTGAGAAAGAAAATGGATGCATAAATAATGTGCCATCACTATTAGTGTAAAAATTCCAAATATGATTATTTACATAGCCAGACAAACAGAATGGGAGCATGAATTGATAGGTTCTCTGTAAGGGAGAGAAAGCCTGTTTTTCTTCATAGACGAGGAGCGAGGGTGTGCATTAATCAATAAACAGACTATTGTGTTTGTTGCATAGAAGAAAAACGAATCTGCTGCTTTCACCAATCGATTCTATTGTCAATTTCGATAGAATTGAAATGTGCTGGTTGTCAATAATAAATGCAGAGTTCGATTCATCGACAGGTTTTGTGTTATTTGCTTGAAATAGGATGTGGGTGTGTGACACAGTGAAGAGCTTTAGCATAAGCAGATGAACATGCGGTTTTTTTGATCAGGAACGACAATATATCACTTAGAAAATCGTTTTTAAAACAGCAAAAGAATTTTTAAAAAAAAAATTTTTTTCGAAAAATTATGGTGAAGGAGACAGTAGCCTTCTTTTTTTCAAAAACGTTTTTTGAAAAGTATGCTAAGCCACATATAATTTGATATAGTTTAATGCTTTGATTCTGATAATCACCTTAGTTTTTTCTTAAAGTTCAATATGAATGCTTAAAACTGGATTTTCGGTCAGAAATCTATGATCGGTCATTTTCTACCAAAGTTTGAGAGTGGTTGTGAATTCGCATCAAGATATAACTCATACCGATCCTACCCACAGTCTGATTTCTGAAGCAATTGCCGTCTGACTGGCATTTTTTTTAATCAAAACGGTAAAGTAGAGTATAGTTGTGCATGGGGTGTGGGTGTGGGTGTGGGTGTGAGTGTATCATTTTCATACTGAGTACATACCCACATCCACAGTCACACCCACACCCTTATAGTCACATTCGCGCAGCTATCACTACTGCTGAATTTTTATTGGTATAAGCCATATTGAATTGTGCCTGCCTATAATAAATAAACTTTGAAAACATGTCTCGAGCGTATAATCCGTTCTTTTGGAAAAAGGAATATGAACGGGCTGCATTTCCTATAAAGGGTGTCCCATAAGTTCTGGGCCTCGACTAAACTTAGTTTCTGTATAAATAAAGAGCGACCAATACTTAACTATATTTATATGAGCTTGGAGCCTAGAAGACGCTCTTTAGAATGGCATATTACTCTCTAAAAAAAACAGTATTCTCGGAAACCAAGGGAGAAAGGTTTCCGAGTGTTCGGAAA